TTTAAGTTTGTTATACAAGTCTGCAGATCAAATATTAAAAGCTGCAATTTGATTGGCTCTCTCTAAATACAAACCTCCCTAAATATACGTTTTAGGCTAGTCTGTATATGTTGTATTTATGGAGGTTTGACTGTAATATATAGAATTCAAGAAAAATACATATATAATAAAATAGAAAATACTTATCCATACCTAGACTTAGATCAAAGATCCTAAAACTCAAACCAAGTCTTTTCTTGTCTCAAACAAAGCTAGCCAATCTAGGGCTTCAAGTTTTGTTAGGTTTTATTTAAGTCACCCTAGTATTAATCACTTTTTTTCAATATGCAAGTTCAATTAATCTCTTAATAAATATCTATAAGTAAGTTGTGGCATGAATTGGTTTTATAAAGTTAACTTTTAACTTTGGTTGATAATCAATACTGGATACTAATTTTTATATGAAAATAGTATTATAAATAGTATTACTGAAATAACTAGAAAAATAATATACAGTTTGTTAGATGTCATGATTATTGCAGTATTAATTTGAATTTAAGGCTTTTTAAACTTGTTAAATAGGCATGTTAGTGAAATTGTAGCATAAAATAAAGAAGAAATTTTACTCAGAGAGTACTGCAGTTCTGATATAGTTCGAGAAAATTCTTGTAATAATTATATACTTTTCATCATATTTTAATTGAGTATTAATTATTAATTCTAATATATGAAAAAAAATATATGTATATAGAACATACTTTCTAATTCAGTGTTTAAAACTTTCAAGCCACAAAAAAGTTATTATTTTAAATTTGTAAATCACTAAACTATTGCTAAACTATATATATATAGAATTCTTGTATTACCCTGTGATTGCAATGATCTGAGGCCTGAATCGAGTTAAAGCAGAAAATTATTTATCATTCTACCATCCAAATCCTAAAAATCTTGATAAAACTAAAGAATTGGTCTACCTTCAAATTATTATATTTTTTATTTAAATTTTAAATTCTTATTTGTAGTTACAAGAACCATCAAATTTATTTCTATCTATATATTTATGAGCTGTTAATTAATAAACCAAGCCAATCTTAGAAGTTCAACCTGACTAAGTAGACTTGAGTTGATAATTAATTTTGGTTTTTAGCTGAAATCGATTTTCTTTAACGGATACAAAATTTTATTTAGCATTTTTGAGTAAAAAAAAAAAAAAAAAAAAAAAATTATTAGGTCGATGTATTTTTAAACTCTAATATAAATAATAGGTGATTTTAAAATATATTATTTTTCGTATCTAAAAGTATATAGAATTAAATTTTTATAAAGCAATTTAAAAAAATTTCTCATTATTAAGTTTAAAAATTTCGGTAAATCAAAAATTGTAATTTTTGTATCTTAAAATTCGATATAATAAAACATTATAAATTTGTATTAGAATAGCTTAAAAAAATTAATATTATATGTATTAAATAATATATACTTAGATATTTTATTTTGAAAGATTTTTAACAAAAATTTTATAATATTTAATTATACCAAAGTTTAAGATACAAAAATTGCAATTTTTTGATTTATCAAAGTTTTTAAATAATGAGAAATTTTTTGAATTGCTCTATGAAAATTTAATCCTATATACTTTTAGATATGGAGAATAACATATTTTAAAATCACTAATTATTTATATTAAGGTTTAAAAATTCATTGATCTAATAATTTTTTTTTATTTTTTATTTTTTTATTCAAAAATGCTAAATACAACTAAATCAACTTTATAAAAATCTATTGGTTAAATTGACTAACTAACTTAAGTTGATTTTACAAGTATCAACTTGTATCACTACTATTAATACTAAATTAATACATATTGCTATATATTTTAAACTTATCATTATAAAACCTTGTGAAATATATTTAATTATAGTATATAGATCAAAGTATACAATAATTTTGAATTTGAAATATTTTAACAATTAAAGTTTATTATTATTATTATTATATTTGCAATTAAATAACCATACCCTTTGATTAATATTTAAGATTTTTTTAAAAATAGCTATTTTTTAAAAAAAAAATAAAGGAAAATTTTAAAAAGCTAAAATAATTTTTGCAATTCGTGAAATGCTTGCATATTATGCTATAATTATTTTTATAAGAAATACAGATTGCAAGATAAAATATAATAATGTTTATGTTCTCATTCATTTAAGGCAATTCTTCACACTCTGAAACTTGTATCTTTCCAAAAAAATAGTTTATTCGTTCTACAACCTCACTTAGAACCATATTAATCCCTTTTGAAGGATCAAGATAGTTCAGTATAACTGCTATCCCAAATATGATAGAATTTTTTTCGATCTTCAGATCCATAAAAGTATTATCAATGATTAAATTAAGATAAGTGTAGTGTGGGTCATCATCAGTATTAACAGGTTTATTTAATCTTATATAGCATTCTCATGTGATATTAGTATTTTTGAATCTTCGTTCTTCATCATGCGTAACCTGTCGATTCTCTATTTTGGGCTTTGGAAGATTATCAAATTTAGTGTGAATAGAATCCTCAATACACTGGACAATATTACTTCGTACTTGATGACAAAACCGCTAGACCTATTAAAAAGGTATATGAGATTAAATAATTTATTAGAAATAATAATTAAGGTTGCTTACCAGAGAATGAATATTTTTATTAAAAAAACAGTTTCATTCACAATATTTAATTTTGTTTTGAAATTCGCCCCTCTCATACTTGATAATGTGTCATAACACACTTTCATAAGATGTTCATTATTCAGATATTTAACCTTTTCATTTGCATTATAAATTGCTCGGCTAATGGAATCCTATTATATCAAATTATGTATTAGACAAGTCAATAAAAATATTTGAGTTGGGCTTGAAAATATTCAACTTGTCAAATAATACACTTATATTATAGTACTTTTTTTTTTTTTGACTTGTTATTTGTATTATATTATTCAACAATTATGTAGTCTCATAATCATCATATCTGTGAATTATATAAAAGCACAAATTACATGATTGTTAAACTACTGTATATTTGACAACAAATTAAACAAGTTGAAACGTGCTATTTAACACTTGCATATCTCGATCTATTTAGTATTATTTTTTATATAATTACTAAAACTAACAGCTTTCTAATCTGAATACATCGCATCAATCTTTTTCTGTAAATCTTGAACTATAGTAATCATTTGAAGCTACACATCTTGCATACTTCTAATCATTGAAGAAAGATCTAAAATAAAATGAACAAATAATAATAGATTATAATAAAAACTAATTATTAGAAAACAACAGAAAATTAAATAAACTTACAAATCTTTTTTTGTCTATTTATATTTTTATTAGTAATTTTATTATCTTTTCGTTTAGAATTAGAATAGATCATCTCACTTCCTTAATTATTATTGGTAAGATTCTCATTATCGCTTAAAATGTAGTTTTCTGAATTAGGTAAAGCATCGTTATCATCAGACATATCTACATAGGGTTCTATGGTTACATTTTAAGCAATCTGCATATCTGTCTCTGTCCGAATAAAATTGCTTGAAACACTTGGAGTGCTTGAGATACTTAAGAGATTTGTTTGTTCCTCAAAGAGCTCAATATGAGGCAAAATATGCTGTGCACTTTTGTGAGCCGCCTTAGATATTCTTTTCTTTGCATGATCTATATTTGTATCTATAGCACAGATTAACAAACAGATATTTTCAGATGTAAAATTTATTAAGTATTTAATTTATATCTTATGACTTAATTTTATGTTTAATCCTAATAGCATCTTATTTGTATCCAACACTACTTTACCTTAACACAACTTATTACTTATTTTGTAAGAGAAATGGTATTACTAGTAACAAATTTTTTCTTTATGACTTTTACTACAATTTGGAAATTATTATATTTATTGCATCATATTACAAAATTTTTCATGCATAAACTTTGTTAATTTAACTGATTTATACTAATACGTTTATATATACAAGTTTATGTATACAAAGCTTATTTTAATAAACACATAACCAGATTACTATCTTTAGTAATAGTAATCGTATGATGCATATATATGTATTAAAGTTAACTATAATTATATAATTATAGAGATATATGTATATACAAAAAGTTTCTAATTAATTTTCTTTTAAATAAATATGAAAGTAACTTGCTGTTAGAAATAATATAGAACATTAGAACTAGATCGTAAAATGTAAAAAAAATCTCACAATTCATGCTGTTAATAAGCAGAGTTAGAGTGGGTTTGAGTTTATTTATTAATCTGAGCGATCATATATTACCAACTAAATCTTTGTAATTATTAGTTTTTAAGATGCCAAGGTATTATTCTTGCAATAAAGTCTTTAAGAGTTGGCAAGATTTAGATAATTATATGAAAAAACATCTTGAGAACAGTGAAGATGAATCACCTTTACCAAACCAACAAATTTGCAAAAATTTACCAAAACTAGTCAAAATAATATTCGAAATTCTTAATAATCAAAATATGCTTGAAAAGCAAAACATGCCCAAAAAAACAGAAATAAATAATAAGAGAATACATCTTAAACAAAATTTGAACAATAGTCAAGAAGATATAGATGAATCTATTAAAGAGCAAATCTATAGTATTCCATTTTTTAGCTGCACAAGAGATGTTCAAAGCTATGATGAATTTATTGAGAAACAAGATATTGAATTTTTTGATTATGCAAGTGATTCTCAAAGCAATAACTCGTTTGTCAAGAACAATGCAGTATCTAATTTATCTGATATAACAGATGTTGACACTAATAAATATGCTAAGGATAACAATTTATTTGCTAAAAAGCCAAAGGATCTCAAAGACGTATATAAAGAATTTCTGTCAAAGGAATATGCTGAATTCATGCATATAGTAATACAGTTTCATATACAAAACTTACTTGCAAATGCATTTATAAGATTTTTAATAAATATTTATCTCATAATGATCAGCTATTGCCATCTACATCACAAACCGGATGGGCTTATATTGAGGACCTTAATCTTCAAAATTTCAGTTGGAGGAAAGAAGTTATCTTTAATTATAAGGGCTTAGAATATATACTCAAATTTAGAACAGTTCTCGACAAAATATGTCAAATTCTAATAAAAAAGAACATTACTAAAGAATTTATATTTAAATTTAAATTATTTATCGATAATATAAGTAATAAATTATAGCTATAAATATTTAAATATATATATATTATATATATAGTTATAATATAATATATATACTAAGCTAGGAAAAACAATAACATAGCACACCAAACTGGAAGATTATAAAGATTTATAACCTGAATGTTACCAATTTGGAAGTTATACAGAAGCAAGGTAGTAGAAGCAGGGAACATAGATTTAGCTAGATATAGTAGTTTCAGGATGCAGGAGTAGCATCAGTATGGGTATGATTCTCCTTCACCGGCTCAGTGGTTTAATGACAATGCTTCTCCAAAGTTGGAAAATACT